ATTTTGTGATGTCCAGGAAGACCCAGACTTTGTACTATTCTTCTTGAAAGGATCAACCAGTTATGGACATCCCCTTCACTCCCACAGATGTTAAACGCCAATAGACTCCAGCGTGTAACCTCAGACATGTAGTCATTGAGGCATACCCAAGGGACACTAGTCATCTACCAAGGGTGGACGTTCTTGTACGTAAAGCCATGGACTTTTATCATACTCCAAGAAGAGTCCTTTCAGTAGTGTCCTTGTGGAGGTTCAGCACAGAATGGAGACCCCTTCGGCAGTCATCAGCTGACCAGTGGTGGGGTCATATGTCCCAGCCAGGTAGTAGAGGTCTGAGGAGGTACTGTTCGACTTCTGATTGCGAGTCAGATGCTCATACTCCTCCCTGCTCACCACCTGGCACTTATGAGAGATTGTCTGGACGTCATTCTCATCCTCATGACATGACTGGTACAGGGCATGCTGTATAGGTAAAAAAAAACATGTTAGTTGCATCACTATATTTATAAACCAAAAAAAAAAACTGGACTTGACTGTTGTAGTTGAATGAGGTGGAGCTCTGCTGAACTAGTCTGTGTCCAAGTGCAACTATTGATTATTTTCATTATGGATTAACCTGCTGATTATTTTCTCTATTACTCGACTGGGTGGTTTGTAAAACTTCTGACAATGGTGAACAATGCCATCACAATGTTCTAATCTAAACAATGATCAAAATAGTTGTTAATTTATTGTACGTGCACAAGAGTGGAGCCAGACCTGTCTAGAACTTCACTCGCACACATCCATTTATGTGAGCTGGGAAAGTTTCTGTGTCAGGATCAGACAGGGATCACTGCGACTTCTTTTGTAAGTCAGAGATCAGTGAAGGAGAAGATAATGTGGAAACTCATTTCAACAGTGCATTTTATAACCAATGTTTGTTTGGGATTAAAGTTATAAAACAGGACACATGCTTTGACCTGAGAGGGGGTGTTCTCAAAGGGGTTCATTTTTGAGATATCCAAAGTAATCCTGTGCTGCTGATTTAAATTTCTTTTTTGGTGGATGGAATTTGGTGATATCAGCCTCCTTCTCTCTGCCATTTATCTTCTGTGTATGTGCGTGTGGCGCCTACTGTGGAGTCTGATAGGCGGTCAGGGAAGAAAGGTGCACAAGCAAATATGCATGGTATGATAACCATGGATTTTCATACCATGGTACAGTATACTGTAAAACCGGTATACCGCTGCAGCCCTAATCTCCAGAAAACGATGACCACCGTCATGACTTACTTTTCCATCTCGATGCCTCTTGCCTAGCTTGGTCTCTTCAGGGTGGTAGAACCACTTGACTTTGACCACCATGCTGGAGGTCCAGGATTCCCATAAGTTCTCAATTCGACCTACATATGGAAGGTTAGGGCGTCCAGCTGACAGGAACACAGCACAATCCCCCACTCTTACTGTGTCTCTGCCTCGTACGATAGCCTTATAGAAAAGCTTCCTGGCCTTGCCCTTTAGACCACGTCTCTGAGGAAAACCAGACACATTAACCAATCTTCTTTGATGATAATGGCTACTGTTAACCCTTTTTGACTTCTAGTGATTTACCATTCTATGTTGGCTGAACTGATATCTAACAAAAGAAGGACAAATCTCTGCTATACCGATGGTATGCAATAGAAACTGACTAATCTTACCTGTGTAGGGTTTCCTGACCATCTCCACATTTGTCGTCCTGCAAGGAATGCAGACATCTTGGGCCTTGGAATAAATGAGGTGTCATCTGGAAGCATTCTAGGTTTCTTCAGGAATTCTTTAGATGGTTTAGAGGTGGAGCTAGTGCATTCTTTCCTTTTCAAAGACTTGCTGTTGGAGACCTGATCCTGAGGACCTCCTTTTGCATTGGAAACAGCCACAGCTTTGGCTACAAAGGAATGCTGGTGCAGCCTTGAAGATGTGGAGGGTTCGGATGGCTGCAGGAGCCCCCGATGGGAAGACAGACAACTCTGCAGCATCAGTGTAGAACTGTCCTCATCCTCTGAGCTGTAGGATGAATCATTGTCAGAGGAACACAAACTGGAGCTGGAGAGAGATCCTGAAGATGAGGAGCTGGAAGAGCCAGAAGAGAAGGAAGAGACAGAGAGACGAGAGAGGAAGTGGCCAGCTGTCCTTAGTCCTCCTGAGGCTGCAGACAGTGCAGTCCTCCTCTCTTCCTCCTCTTCTTCCTCTTCATCATCCAGATCAGAGTAGGAGCTGTGACACTCTCGGTGGGAGCTGAAGCCTAGGTCACCATATTCCCCCAAATGCAAAGGGGAGGACTTTCTTTGGGGTGTGGCTCCTTTCAGGAGAAGTTCTACCCTAGAGGCACCACCCTTTTTGTTGTCTTTAACCAGCAGCACTGGGTGAGAGTAGGCCTCTATCCTGGGCATACCACTCACACTGGAAGAGCCGCCTCGCAAAAGCAGTGCCTTGCTGTTCTTTGTCTTGGGGGAGGTCACTCCTTCATGATCTAACTTGACCAGAAACTCTTGTCCAGACTTCCTGCCTTTTGGCATGACCAGGTCATCTTGCCTGCGCTTGTGGCTATACAACCCGCTTCTGGGGCCCAGAGATAAACCAGGACTTGGTGTTGTGGGCTGCGCACAGAAAGGGGAGTAGCCATTGGCAATGCTGCTGAAAGAGTCTACCTCAAAGGAGCTGCTGCTGAAAAGACCCTTGGCTGGGATAGAGGCCAGTGGCTGGGTCAGAGGCAAATGGAACAGGTCATCCTCCTTCCCTCTCATTACTTTCCTGGGTGCCCCATTATGCTGAAATAGATCATCGGACATCCTCTTCCTGGTGTTGGCCAATGAAGGCCAACCCAGAAAAGGTGAAAGATTCTTATTGGCATTTTCAGCCTGCTGCTGCTTTTGTTTTTTCCCAGAGCCCTTTGGTCGCCCTAGATTGAAGAAAACATACATACTATGTTTTAGCCACACATCATAAATAATGAAGCACAACTGTTTCATTTGTTCATACGGTACACTGACCAGTTTAATCGGCACACCTGTTAACATATTCCAAACCGGGGGCCCCACAGCATGTGCTGTTGTAAATGTACTGCTGCTCAGTTTATGCTGACATTGTGTTAGAGGTGTATTGTGTTGACTGAACTCGATGATGAGTTGTTTTTTTTTCATTTGGAATATTTCAATTTGATTAATTCTTCACCCATAAAAAAAAAACATGGCACTTTTGTTTAAATATTTCACTTAGTATAAGAATTATATAGCTGAAATTATTAGTTGTAATAGGCAGGGAAATGTTATGTGTAATTAGTGTATGTAACGACAGGTTTCAGGTGTTCTTACCTGGTCTTCTTTTGTGAACAGTTAGTGTTTGGCTCTTAGGTGTACTGGTAGTGTTAAGTCTGTCAGATCTGTCACTGATGGGGGCCTGCTCCAGACTGGAGCCTCTCTTGGATGTTGTCCCAGTGGGTACCAGCAGGGTAGGACATGGTTCTCCACCTAAAGGATAAGTGGTATAAGATGTTTAGTATTTAGTGATACACGACCAGTCAAATGTTTGGATGCGCACTTTCCCGATGAATGGAATGGTCCAAACTTCTGACTGGTAGTGTAGGTAGACAATTCATGATAACATGGCAGGGCAAATTCCCACTTCCACAGAGAAGAGGGACCCACAGTGAATCTGGTATCCTGGAGGCAGGAGGCGGATGTTTGAAAGAGAAATCTTCCCTCGGTCTCCATCATCAAACTCTACCATCACTCCTCCTTGCTTCCCTTCTTCAGATGAACCTCCTCAAAAAACAAAAGCAAAAAAATTGTACTTTTGCACATCTGCAAAAAGTGATTGTACTGTATGTGCATACAATTAAATATAAATTTGAAGTACAGAGGATATGAAGGGGCAACAAAAAAAGATGGAAGAACCTGATGTCTCACCTCTGCGAACGTAGCCTGGGTATAAGCAGCGTGAGCGTTCGCTCCAGTAAGCACACACCCTGGTTCCTTCACTGAGCAGAGCTTCTGACTCTGGACGTATATCCAAGACCTGGAAGCCAGACCAAAACATAGGATTCATTACAGGCTGCTTACAAGCACAAACACACACAAACATACAGTGTGTGAGCAATGGAGCATTGTGCATTGGAAGCCACTGTGCCATGTTTCCAGGCAGCACTTATCTCATGCCAATGTGCCAGTCAGGGCTGAAAAGAACGGAAGCCATGATGCAGTAAATCCTGACTTGCTGAGTAATACTAAAGAGGGCCTGAATAGAAGGCTTGTGATTGCAGTTTGCCAGATCCTCCCTCCAACAATACAGGCAGCCCCAGCATCCGCCACTCACTGGGGGCTCTTTCAGGTTGCTTTCATTTACTGTTGCCATGGCGAGGGACCCTTTGACTGATGAGGTGTGGATATGGGTGTGTGTGTGTGTTGCCGTGCGCATGGGGAAGAGAGGAGGAGTTTGGTGAGAATAGGGGTATTGGTGTCAGAGTCAAATAAATGGCTATTGAACTAATTTAAAAACAAGTTTAGACAAGAAAGTGGATGCATGGCATAATTAGACCCAGCTGCTATCTGATGAGATAAGACTAAAGTTTACTAAGACTGAATTTGCCAGAAGTGTTTGGGAGAATTTTGTCCCAAACATGGTCCAAACAAGCATGAGCACGAACGCTTCTAGCTCAGACTGATTTTACATGTCATGTTCTTGAGTGCATCCCTTGAAAGAAAGCTACAGTCTGAGCATTGCTGTTAGCATGAAATAAAACAAGCCTTCTATCTGGGTTTAGGTTCCACCTAGATGAATCATTCTGAACTGAGTCTGCTCTTAATTTATACATCTCATCTTTTGTGTTTACTTTTTGTTTTCCTCCAATGATCTGAGCTTTAAGCTAGGCTGCTTACTGTCTCCTTGAGGACTGAGATCGATCACCTATGCTGGTATGTTCTCTGGTGTCATGCATTTGTCCCAGCTGTGCCAGTTGTTGACATCTGTGATCATATACAGTACTTGCATTGGAGCCTTAAAAATGACACAGCAAGAAGGCTAGGTGGGAAACTTATGAGACAAAGGAGATGAGCTGTCAGTTATTAAATGGTCTATGGATGAATACTGTGAAGAATACGTCTTGGCCAGTAGGAAGATATAAACAATAAAAACATTACTTTTTTAAATTCACTGTTTCTGGATTTATACTTAATCTAGCAAACAAACCTAACACTGTACAAAAATACTTAGAAACTAAGTTCATTTTCAGAAGTGCTATTGAATCCAATGTGATAAGATATACTGTATTAATCTCATTTGACTTTGGACATGTTTCCTGAGAGGCAAAAAACATAAAAAATATATTGAATATTTTATCCTACATGAAGGAAATAGTAATTTTCATGACATTAAGTGGAAAAAAATAAAGTAAAATTAAAAAAAGTAAATCATCAGGAAATTCAGTTGGTCTACTCTTCAGTGGGTGTGGGGTCGTTACATTTCCACATCACAGTAATATTTACTTTATCATTTAATAACTTTAGATGAACTATGATCACAAAAACCATGCTAGATAAGGTACAAGTACAGTTTTCTTGCCCCTCGGCAGCTAAATCTTTCCCCTAGCAAAAGCCTGTAATCTAAGACGCAACTAATTAAATGCTCTACCAAAAGGATCATCATCTTCGGACACACTACTGTGTGCAAACACAATGTCCTGTGCCCTGTTTCGTAGTAGCAAATACTCATTTCCACAGCTCAGATGCAGATGACAGCTTTGCCTAAGGTGGCCTGACTGTTATAAGTGCATAGAGTCAGTATTAAATAAAAAATGGGGGGGAACAAAGGTCGCTTGCTGCAGTATTCTGGATTCAAAGTGCACCAAGAAGCACAGGTTAACTAAATGCAAATGAATAACAACCAAGAATGTGCAGTGGTTTCCAGTGTGTAATTATGTATCTATATGAATGACTTAGTAATTGTATGTTAACATAAATATGAGTGAGACTTGCATATTCTGATGATCTTGGTCTAGGTTTAAACAAAAAATCTTTTTAAAAATGACCCACCTCAGGTACTTTTACAAAAAAAGTGATTTTTTTTTCTCATGAAATAAACATATAGCTCTACACTTTTGCTTCACTCCCATTCATCTTTAGTTAGCTGCTCTTCATATCCTGTCTTTGTTTATCTGAACCTTTAAACAAGTCTATTACTTCAGCAGTAGTAGGAATATGAAGTTCACATCATCTCCCATTTAAACTTCTAAACACAAATGGATCCAGGTGTGGTGGGATTATCACACTCACACACAGTTGGTTTTAACAGATGTTCACAGACACTCACACACATAAACCTAAGGATGCTGCGTTCCATCTGTTCGTATTCACTTTGAGTTTTAGATGGCCTCAGTGACCCTGAGAGACAGACAAAGGGACTGGCAGAGCCACAGAAAGGCTGGGAGGCAGTGGAGAAATGCAAAGATGATGAGAAAGAATCTTTAAAAGAACAAAAATGTTGAGTGGCCCAGAAGACCAAACAAACGGTGACTTTTCTGGTAACACAGGATTTTAGTGGCGCGGGGTAAACTTACAGCTTCTTGTAGCAGCTGCTCCAGTGAATAGATTCTTGGGCGGTTTCCTCTTTCACCATCGATAACAATGCTAAAGCTAGACAAAAAGCACAGCAGAGAGAGAGAGAGAGAGGGAAAAGGCTATTTTCAGATGCTTGTATTATGCTTGCCTTGCTCAATGTCAGATGTTACTCGGTTGTTGTTATAACATCTCTTTGCTGCTAAAGCCAGAAGAGCTGTATTGACACTCAGAGATGGATATGGGATGATTTGGAGCTTATGTAAGGAGGAAAAACATGAGAGATAATGGTGACTTGTACTCCTCTCATGCACCCAAAAAGGTTTAAATTGATTTAAACTGAATTCAAGCCACAAACCCATGCCAGTTTGCCCATGCAGAAGGAACACTGACAAAAAGGTGTAAACATGCAGAATTGAATTTGAAAGACTGCTCACTGGTAGGTAAAGGTATATAATACATATTTACAAATGTCATTTATATAGCATCATCTTAACTATATGTGTACAAAAAAAAGACCCTCAATAATCACTTAAACCACAGCACAGGCACTCACATGTCAGGGAGCTCCAGAGTGTGGACCCTGGCAGCATAGAGAAGCTCATCCTCCTTGGAGATCAGCACCTTCAGTCCATCAGTTAAGAGTTCTTTGGTCAGGACACAACTAGGAACTGTACAAGGAAAAGAGAACATTACAAATAATATTTCAACATCAGTGAAACTATTTGCTACTTGAAACACTGTTGCAAAATATCCAGTGTATCTTTTACCCCCAGGGCTTCTGCTGTTGTATGAACAGCTGCTGTGCTCCTCTTCTTCTGAGAAGCTGCTGCCATCCATCTGAAAGCCCTCATCAGCCTCAAAGCTCTCCAGCAGCCGACTCACCGCTCGTCCCTTTGGCTGTAGAATATAACAGAAGGGACAGACAGAAGAATAAATAGATGAAGGGTTTGAATTTAAAAAAAAAAGTGGAACTAGGAAGCATGATAGAAGAAAGAAGAAATTGTTTAGCATGCTGCTCAACGTAGCAATTAACCACAGGGGATTTCACATTGTCTGTATGTCCTAACAATAACTATTTTTTTAAATTTCTCACAGCAAAAGGTGTGATTCCCCACCACCACCACCCTTCCCACAACTCCTCTCCTCTCCTCCCCTAAGATTACTCAGCAGGAGGTTGGGCTATGTGCAATGTGCTAAGTACTTTTAATAGTTCTCCAGTAACAGTCCTAAGGGTGAGAAATCTAGGACAGTAAGACATCACCAGAATTGCTAATAGAATGTATGAAGGCGTTGGTGGTTTCCCGAGTGAAGGTTGGGTGTTTTAGGAATATACTGTGATGGTACCTGTTGGCCCTTGCTCCGTCTGCCCCTGCTCTCCTCCTCATTTTGTGAGGATGGGGCCCCAACTGACCAGGAACTTCTCCTCTGTGGAAGTTGACAAGATGACAGGTGAGTGTGTGACATGTCCTTAGATGCAAAGTTTTTTGGAAGTAAAGTTTTTGCACAAACTTGATCACAACTAAAATAAAATGAATAAAATTGCATACACCATTTAATTTCTCTGAAAGGATGAATCATTAGAGGGAATGCATTTCTTATTTATGAGCATTATAAAATGTAGTTTTAAATTTTTGTGTCTACATTTTTTACTTTGAGACATGCCAGCCTCTGCTAGAACTCAAAGTATTTTTCTTTATCACCTAACACTTCTTTCTGTGATTCAACAAAACAGTTTAATGGCAAATTACATGCAGAGAGCCTATTATGTGTGGCTGTGATGTCACAAGGCCACTTTTGAAATGAGATAGAGTATCTTCTTAAGCATATCATGCCAAACCAATACATTAGATTATTTTTTTTTTTTCCATTTGATACATTTTTCAGGTCTATGAGTTCTATGGTTTCCTTAAACTAGAAAATGTAAGTTTTTATTCAGTATATCAGCAATTCTATTAAAAAGAGTCTGCTAACCTTATTGATTGCTCCTCTCAACACAGTGCTTTTGCGAGTCGCCCTCTTTAGTCTTTCACTGGTGGTCGGGAAGGTGGCCAGTCCCACGCTCCTCCGGTAGCGGTTGCCTCTGGCCCCAAGGCTGCCCCACCGGGGCTCCTTTGACCTGGGTCCGCATGGCCTTCTAACCCCTTCAGTCCACTGATCTTCACTGTGGTTTTTCACTGCAGCAGTCGGGCCCATTCTACAGGGTGGTTTCTTCCTTACTTTGACCTCCCCCTCTGTTCCAGACAGACTCTGGGATCCTGTGCCGTCCAATTAGAGACAGAGACTTAGACCAAGTTAACAAAACAGGAGTAGAAACACAAAACAGATGTTGCCCATGAAGATGTGGTGCTGTTTTGTTGACTTGGAAATCAGTTTCAAAGTACAGTCTTACCATAGAGCTCCTGTCTCTGTCTCTTGTTCCTGGCTTTCTGATTGGCCTCCAGTTTTACAATAGATGAAGGACTTGGACCTGTCACGGAGGAGCTAGGGGTGACATCTCTGGGGGCCTGGGCTTTGTAGTCTTGACCTTCATCAGTGTCATAACTTCCGTCCTCCTCTTCATCATCTAATGCAGATAGCAAACAATACAGCATAGAGATGTTACTAGATTATATGAACTCACTTATCAGATCTCTTTAAATCATTTCCAACCAGTGAGGTTCTTTAAATTTTTCTCCATCACTTCACATGCACGTCATTAGCATTTAAGCAAATCATTTAACTGTTCATACAAATGATGAATGAAGTGCTTTGCCCCATTGAAACCACATGCTGCAGAGCTAGTGTGCTAGTGGGTGCAGGACTGAGTTTGTGTTTGCCACTGCAGATTTTTGACCCAGTCTCCTAGTCTCCAGGTCTGTCAAACCCTCTCACAGCCTCTCACAGGCGAGTGTCCACAGCTGTGGCTGCGTATCTAGCTGAAACCAGCCAACAAGGCCAATCTCTGACGTGCCGAGTGTCCGTGCACACTCTTGTGTGGTAGAGGACAATCAACAGCTTTTCACTCGCTGCTGGTTTTGAACTTGAAACAAGTTTAATATTCATTATGCACTGCAACCCTTACTCATTTTGTATTTCTGCGTAGGGTTAATGTTTATAGAGTCTTTTCATCCATAAAAAACACCCTTGACATGTGGCTGTTCCGTCACTCAGATAACACTTTCACAGCTACAGTTACATGTCATAAATTAAGTGCAGCAGGATAATGTTTATCACTGGGCCATATTGGGTTGCTGTGGTCAGTTTCATTACCTGTCACTGTATATGCATCATAACAGAGTCAGTATTCACTGCCTCACCTTGATCAGAGGAGTCACTCTCTGCAGGGGAGCTCTCTCCCTCCTCCAGTGCCTCCTGCTTCTGGCCACGGAGAGCCCTCGCTCTGGGCTGACTCAGACAGGACAAACCCTGGGACAGGGCGGTGGATCCCTTTTTACATCCACGTTGCACCAGTCCAGTCCAGCTCTCCTGGGGGCCACTGTCTACACTGGCTGCTGAGAAATTTTGGAGAATTAGTTCAAGTCTAACTGAAGAACAGTTGGTAGAACGTTGTGCTTATTCAAACAAGCAGCATAAGGCACAGTCAGTACTGTGATTACCAGTACTTACCTGTGTCGCTTTGTCCACCAGACTCACGCCGGGACTCGGCTTTGCCTGTGCCCTGAGTTCTGTGTCCATATTTGGGATTGGAGTTGCAGGGTGAAACTTCCTTGTCTCTGGACCCTGACCCTGAGATATTCTTTTTACCCTGGGCCTTCTGTTTGAGTTGAGTCACATCACTTGGCAGCTTGGAGCTGAGGATGCTATGAAGACTGCTTTTTCTGCAACCCTGCGATTTTATCTGCTGCAACAAAGAGAGATGAGTGAGACAGTTACAGTCTCAGTCACAGCAACCCAAAAAGCATTAGAACATCAGAGGAAGAGGGCTCTGCTTTGCTCACACAGAGAAGAAAAAAGGAATAAGTTGAAGCCCCAACGAGAAAGTTATTCATATGGAGTGAAGAGGATTTGACTCCTGGGGGTACAACCTAATTATGAATAGTATGCAACATAGGAATATATCAAACGCAAAGAAACAGAGTGGCCTTTCATTTTTAGTTGCATAGAGGATGAAAGAGAGGAGAATAAGGGGACCCTGACCTGGGCACTGCTGAGTTGCTCAAAGCTTCGACTGGACAGCTTCTTCTTACTTCTCTGGCTGTCTCCGCTCCCTCCAAGGTCCTCAGGTGACAGGACTAACCCTGTCCCCATCGACCTGCCAGTCAAAACAAGGAAAATGCATTCATTAGAGAAGAATGGTGGTGGTTTCAAAGAACAAGATGGAGCAGGACATCACAGGGGAAAACCGAGTTGAGTCACCTCTCTGTGGGATCTAATAACTCTCCTTTTACTGTGTGATGAACAGAAAGAGAAAGAAAGGGACGATGAGAGCCCAGTCTCTGAGCGCTTATACAATTGGGATCTAACTCATGATCTGATATTGTCTGAGGGCAGTGTTTTGCAGCCTGTGAAGCACTGCATAGTTTTGAAATGTACAGTGATGGTTGCAAGGCATTGCATCTGTATGCAGCTCTACTGCTCTTGGTGAATATCATAGCTCTTCGGTTGTATTGTCA